CTGGGTAGGTGCTCCCAGGAGTTGAGTGGCCCAATCCTCCATGGGAATTCCCAGGCGGTGCAGTATCAGGTCCCTCGAGCCCCAGGGGATTACGTTGCATGTATGAGTGGGACAACAGGTGATGCAAGTTTGGCCCAAAGAAGCAGAACAACGGTGCTGGGACAATACAGCACAGGTGTTCTGCTTTATTTAGTGACATCTATTTCTATCCTAAGTACAGGCAGAAGACAGGGTGGAGGTGCACCTTACAGACCAGTGTTGTCCAAATGGCAGCCCATGAGCAGCATGTGACCACTGTTGCCCCTATTGCTCCAGCTGTAGGAGCAGCTGGCATCTCCCCCCCTACCCCCGCCACTGCATGCCTCCATCCCAGGGGATGGGGTAGTGAGATGCAGTCTGGCACAACCAACAGAGCTGGGGGAATGATGGCCTGGAGTGCCCGTGCAGTGCAGTGACACAAGGGTGCCCGCAGGGAGCAGAAGATAAGGGGGGGGGGGCACGCCACATGGGGGAGTGCTCCCCTGCATATAGTGAAGCAGAGGGGAGTGCCCACCCACACAGATGCATGGGGAGTGCAGCCTGGGGGAAGGGGGCATGGCTCTGCAGCCCACTATGCTGTGACATGTGAGATATGTGGCCCCTGGCCACTTTGAAGTTGGACAGCCCTGCTATAGACTAACTGAATCAAAGATGCATAAGTTTTTGTGAGCAAGGGCTCACTTCATCACATACTGTGAAGGGACATAAGTGAATAGCCCCCTTAACTTTCGTGGGACTTATATAGGTGGTGCAGCTTTAGCACAAAGATCATGGGATGGTTAATAATGAAGAGGATGGGCCACTATTACAGGAACAATGCAGATCATTTGGTGAGCTGAGTGCAAGCAAAAAAAAATTAATATATAAGTGTCATGCCGTACAACTAGACAAAACTATACAACTAGACAAAAAGACTCTGGAAAGGAGTTGCAGTTGTGGTACATAATTAATTCAACTTGAGCTCCCAGTGCAACACAGCAGCCAAAATTGCAAAAGTTATTCTTGGATGTACAAGCAAGAAAATATTATTGAGCAGTGTAGAAGTTGGTACTGGTATAGACATTTCTAGAGTTTCATGACCAGTTCTAGGTTAGGGACAGACATTACACCTAAACTGGTTTTAAGTGATCAGAAACTGGTTTAAATCTGTAACAAAACAGATGTTCAATGCACATAAACCAGTTTGAAAATGGCTGAAACCAGTTTGAGACAAACCTGGTTCAATGTAGTATTAGACTTAACTGATTTTGGTCAAACCTGTTTAGGCAATGTCTGTCCCAGATCCCTTCCTGGTTTAAGTTAAACCAGAGTCCCCCAGCATCCTAGCATGCTCTCTGGATTCTCTGCTCCACAGCAGGGCTGGCCCTGCCCCTCTGCTCTCTGGCTAGAGCTCTGGCAGAGACTGCAGGCATCTGCCTGGTGTCCCCCTGCTCCCCCCCTCCCCTCACCACTCCTGCTAAGCAAGGATTCCTCCCCCTCCCTTTGCCTTACACAGACACCCTTTAGCATTATCTAGCATACCATATGCTGGCTATGGTTTGTGCTGTGCCAGATGGGACAATGGCAGACAGAACTGTGTTGGCTAAGGGTTTTTTGGAGCTAATTAACAGGTAGCTGGTAATGTCCCTCCATTCCTTCCCTGGAAAAAGTTGTTTAAGAAGATCTTGAACTAATGAGGCAAGGTTCTTTGGGTAAATCTGATATATTTTATTAGACCAACTTAAATAGTTTGAAAAATTCTTAGCAAGCTTTTGTGTTTAAATACCCTTTGTCAGGCTGAGGCAGCATCTGCAGTTGGTGTGTGCTCTTTCCGGATGGAATGAATAGTAGAGGCCAGAGGCTGCTATGCATGCAAGAAAGGTAGTGAGCGAAAATGTAAATTGAGGAGTCAGTGGGTGAGAGACAGGTGGGGTGGGGGGCACCTGGGGAGTCAGATGTTAGGTAGGTTATAATGCATCATAAATCCAATGTCTATATTTAGTCCATGATTTTTGTATCCAGGAGTTTGATGAAGTGAAGTTTATAGGCTCGTCTGTAAAAAGTGTTTTGTAAATTCCCTTTGAAGATTAAAACTGTGAGATTGGAGAGAGAGTAGTTTTCTTGTGAGGAATGTGCCCCCGCAAGTAACTGGGTATTCTTGTCTTTAATAGATTTCTGGTGTACTTTCATTCTGGTGCGCAGTTGTTGTTTGGTCTCTCCTATGTATTTTCCATCAGGGCATTTGGTGCATTGGATGAGATGTATTACATTTTTGGAGATGCAGCTGTTAGACCAACACGGCTTCAACCTATACTCCTTGAACTAATGAGAGGCTTTTGTTTTCTGATGGGTTGATAAATGCTGATAAGAGAGCTGATAAATGCTCTATTATCAACGAGGGTGGGGGAACCCCTCCCTAATAGGAGCATCCTGCCAGGGCCTGGCCATGTCCTCCCTCAGCTCAGCACTGTGACAGGAAGGGAGGGCTGCTTCTAGCCTGAGCCACTGCAGGCATGTGCCTGCATTTCTTCAGTCCAGAGTAGATGTCTGTGTGGTTACAGAACAGTTTAGTCTAGCCAGGTTAGACCAACCTGAAAAGATTGAATCAATTCAGGCTCAAGCTTTTTGAGTATCTGTTCCTAGCCCTAGTGTCCACAGTTCAAAAAGGATGTTAAGAAAGTGGAGAGGGTTCAGAGATGATCCATGAGAATGATTAAAAAGTATTGGAAAAAATGACGTATAATGAAAGATTCAAGGAATTTAGTCTACTTAGTTTAGCAGAGTTGGTTGAAAGAGTGATTAGATTAGTGCAGATACCTATACCCAGAGCAGAAATTTGATCCTAGAGAGCTCTTAAGTCAGACAGACAAAGGTATAACAAGATCTTAAGGCTAGAAACTGAAGCTAGATATATTTGGACTCAAGATAAGGCACAGATTTTTAATACTGAGGGTAAATAATCATTGGAAAAAAAAAAAAAAAAAAAAAAAACTTACCAAGGGCTCAGGTAGATCAGATGTTTATCAGGAAGATATGCTTCAGTTCAAACAAGATATAATTCAGGGAGGCCCTGTAGCCTGTGCTATACTAAGGTCAGACTACTTCTTCACAATAGTCCCTTTTGGCCTTTTAACCCATGAAAGCTTATTGCTGAATAGGTGCTTGTTCCAATTAACCTAAATCTCATAGCATTTATGTTTTTGCTCACATTTTTCATTATACTTTTTGCCCTCAGAGAGCTGAAACAACATGAAATCTAATTTTCCTCACAATATTTCCACCATCTGGGAATGGTCACACAGTGATGAGACCAGTTTACCAATTACTTTAAATCCACAAATGGGTCCTTGACAAAATAAAAAGACCTATCAATAACAAAGTATAACAAAGAACAAGAGAACCCTACACCAACCAAATTTCCCCTCTGCATGACCTTGAGCATGTCGGGATGGTTCCTGGCAGGGAATGAAGATCATATTTCTTTTAGCCTAGAGCTTTAGAAAGTTTCAGGACGGAAGGAAATATTTTATCTCTTAAAGCATATTTTTGGCTGAGATGCTGACTCTCAGAAATATTTGAGTCTGAGAAACTTGGGCCTCAAATTCTGGGTCTGGTGAATGACCAGGCATCTGAGGTCTCACGAGAAGTCATAATGATGGTCTGAGCTTCAAAGTGGTCAGAGAGTACATCTAAATGACATATTTTTTGGTTTACTGTTCCACTGGGACAACATCCAACGTATATGACATGCTCCACGTAAGCACCGTCTCCAAAGGGGCCCATTTAAGGACAAACGTTTATTTTACTGATTGTAAATCTTTCAGTGATTTTGGGGGTTGTTCAGTTCTGCCTTTCCTTCTAGTTCTACAGAAAAATATTGCTGTCATAGCTAGGAGTAAATATTATACTGCTTGTTACATTTCCTTAATTATCGGAAAAGCAGAGTGTCTTTCCCCATTTGTCCCCGACTCTGGCAGTTCTTTGTACAGTGCAACAATTTTGAGAACTTGGGAGTGGAAACCAAACTTATCAGATTGTGCTGTATGGCAGGACAGGAGAAGCCACTATAGTAGAGCGGAAACACACTTGGACTAAGAAGCTATGCAGGTTAGGATGGCTACCTTATGCATTTATACAGCTTAAGTTACAAGTTCAGTGAAGAATTTAAATGTTAATTAAAAGTATCCAATATTTTACCCAGTACAGATAGTGCAGGCAGGAGGTGTCAGTTTCTTGCTGGTGTGACACTTCCTCAGCGATACTTTGGCCCAAGCAAGATCAGATTCCCATCCAGGTGGCACATGATGGGCACTTGTTGCAGCCTCTAGTCAGAGCCACACCAAATCCCTTTTGTAAAACAGTGTGTTACAGTAAACAACTTCTTGATAGGAAAGAGAGAAGTCAGTAAATGAGGATTCCTAGTTCATCAGGGATATGTTAAATACACAGTAAATTATTTTAAGAAAAAATAGGTAAAATTTTAGGACCTAGGTGAATTTGGAAACTTTTTTTTTAAGTTATAGTGCTCTCCCATGTGAAATGACATAAATCAGGGCTGTCCAGCTCACAGCCTGCAGGCGACATCCAACCCCTAAGAGGTCAATTTGCAGTCCTGGGTCTCTCACCCTGTTGTTTCTTCCCCGTCACTCTAACTGAGCTCTGGGCTCATCCTTCCTCCTTTGGCTTCTGCTTCCTATCTCCACCTTAGGGGCAAGG